ATAAAATAAAACCCCCAGGAGGAGGAGCAGGAGGGAGGAAGATGGGATCGAACTTGGGCCACCGCTGAGCCCGTGGGAACAAACTGTCCTCTCGCCGTCTCGGACAGGCTCGACTCGTGACCAGGGGTGGCTTCTCTCTCTCTCTCTCTATCTCCCTGCTTCTCCGGACGAGCCGTGTCATCTACATCTTAATCGAGGATCGTGAAATTCCGCGCACGTAATATGCTGCTGGGGCGTCTTGTGCAAAGAAAGAAAGAAAAAAATCTAGAGACGCTGCGAATTGAGAGTGAAATAAAAAAATATATATTCGGTTGAAATTCTTAGGCGTTTTTTTTTTTACAAATATATCCAAAATTGTTGTCACAAATCAAGCGTGGAGGTGTTTCGTTGCTTTGAGGGCACGGGGTTGGTGGATCACGAAAAGATGGGCAGGCAAGGAGAGTTGCGCCCGGTGAAGCACTTGGATGGGTGACCCCCACCGGGGCTTGCCAGCTGCTGTAGGCGTGGGGCTGCGTGGTGTGGCCAGCGGGTGACAGTGGGGAGTGTCTCCCCCCTCTCGAGCGCGGCGGGGTTTTCTCCAGGCTTCTCCCGCCTCCAACCTTGGGAAACCACACTCTCATTCGTGGCATTGGCGGTGGAGGGGGGGAGAAGAAGGAAAGCATGCCAAGGGAGCAGCACCCTCCCTCTTACAAATTCGAGTCTTGAGGCTCTCGTTCGTGAATTAATAATTGGCGCAGCAGTGCCATGACGTGACCCGCATAATGCGGTGTAAGAAAGTAGGTTTGTTTGCTTTAAGTGTTCGGGATATTTATCCCCTTTCGTGTGCGTGTGGGTTATGCGCCCTCTCTCTCTGTCTGTGTGTGTGTCTCTCTCTGTGTGTCTCTCGATGTCTCTCTCTCTCTGTGTCTCTGTGTGTGTCTCTCTCTGTGTGTCTCTCTCTGTGTCTGTCTCCCTCTCTCTGTCTCTGTGTGTGTCTCTCTCTCTGTATCTCTCGATGTCTCTCTGTCTCTCTCTCTGTGTCTCTGTGTGTGTCTCTCTCTGTGTGTCTCTCTCTGTGTCTGTCTCTCTCTCTGTATGTCTGTGTGTGTGTCTCTCTCTCTATGTGTGTCTCTCTCTCTGCCTCTCTCACTCTCTCTCTGTATCTCTCTGTGTCTCTCTCCCTCTGTGTCTCTCTCCCTTTGTGTCTCTCTCCCTCTGTGTCTCTCTCCCTATGTGTGTCTCTCTCTGTGTGTGTCTCTCTCTCTGTGTGTCTCTCTCTGTCTCTCTCTCTCTCTGTGTCTCTGTGTGTGTCTCTCTCCCTCTGTGTGTCTCCCTCTCTCTCGCTGTCTTCACCAATCCCCGCCGCCAACTGACACGCGTGGCGAAGTGTGGTCCTAAATAACCTCCACGACCCGCACGCCGTCCAGAGGCCCTCATCTAGCAGTGGATTGGCACAAGCTATGCGTGTCACACACACACACGCGCGCGCGCTAATTAAGTAATTATCGCGCCCACCGCCGCTGACCTCTATCCTCCCGGAGCCGGGGTTTGAGGCTCGGGATTTGATCGAAGCTGCTTGTCCATCCCCTGACCCCCTTAAGCTTCCAGCAGATGAATGCCTCCACTGGCGAGACAGATGATTTAATTTGTTTTGTCTTGTCGCCAATTTTATTCCAGTTGGGCTATCGGCGTCATGTCGTGAGACTCCAAGTCTTCATTTTGGATCTCTGGCAGGGCGGTGCATCATCACCCTCCGTGTTAGTGCTAACAACGGCCCGCGGAAGTAGATATTACAGAAGACAAGTAATGCGGTTATCGTTTGTTTCTTATGTTAAATCGACACACTAGGGTGCGTACTTTATCACACACGCCCTGCTTGGCAGACACAAAACATCTGCTGACATTTTGCCAGATTAGTATGAACTCACCACCTTGACAATCATCGGGCGCGTGCAGCATGCACAGCAGTTGCTAAACGTGGGGGGAGGGGGGGATGCGAGTCGCGTTGATTGAAGTTTTGAAAATCCTGCCTTAAGGTATAAGGTAACAATTACATTACCATATTCTCTGGATTCTAAGACGAGTTTCCCCCCATTTATATTACAGCAAAACTTGAGAATGCATCTTATAATCGCGTAGGTGTCTTTGTGTGTGAGACCACGTTTGTATGTACTTACCGGAGCATCTTATGCGGAGAATACGGTACGATGCCTTTGATGTAATCGTTGGTGTGATGCCGTGTGTGTGTGGGGGGGGTGTTATTTAAATACGATGCTTTGCACATACCTCCGATCGGCACGGTTGGCTCCGTACGGTGCGAAACAAGTTCAAGACGGAGTGCGTGGCCAGCACCACGCCCGGCCGCCTTTGTCTCCCTAGCGGCGATATTTACACATCACACCGGGTGCTCGTTTGAGGCTGAGTCGACCTAAGGGAGGCCCAGGGACCGGTTCAAATAATCGTCACTGGTGTCGGCCGTGAGCGGGAATCGAACTCGAATCGCCGGTTTCGTAGCGTAGCGCTAACCGCTGCACCACCGCTCCCCACACACTCACACCGCCCCCCCCCCCCCCCCCCCCCCCAGGGTCTCTTGACTCCCCAGGTCGCCTTTTGAAGAGGTTGAGCTGCGGGCTCGAGGGCGAGTCTCGCCCCCCCCCCACGCCCTTCAAGCTGTCGCCTATAATTCGGGGCTAAAGGCCAGCGATAGCCGAACCGTACGCGGCGGCGCAGGGGGAAACTCAATAAGGTATATCAGGATGACAAATCGGCACAATGTCGCCTAATTACTGCTCGTTCACATCGGCGCGCACATCCACCACGAGGCGGCTGGCGGCTGGCGTCGGCGCGCGCGCGCGCGCGCTCGTGCACGAGCCCACGTCCCCTTCGCGTGCCCAGTAAACATGCCAACGTTGGGCCAACGTTGAAGCGACGTTGGCTTGTGGTGGAACCAACGTTGGGCCAACGTTGAGTCGACGTTGGTTTGTTGTGGAACCAACGTTGGGCCAACGTTGAGTCGACGTTGGTTTGTGGTTGAACCAACGTTGGCCCTACGTTGACCGAACGTTGGTCCAACGGTTCCGGGTTTACTGGGATGGCGCTTGCGGTGAGAAATCAAAGAAACAAGAAATAATTAAATTTTGATTTAAAGCTTTCGTGACTGCAGTAATTCATATTCTTAGTTTTTTCGGTAAAGTCACGTTGAAGAGAAACAACAAATTAACAAAATATATATAAAACAATAAAAAATTCTCACGACGTTTCGACCATAACTCAAACGGTCATCATCAGGTGTGTCGGTTTGCATAAATTTATTTTGAAAACGGCATATTTATTGATTTATATATATATATAAAAATAACGTTTGCGTCACGCGCAACGATTGGCGTGACGCAAACGTTATTTTTTTATATATAAATAAATAAATATGCAGTTTTCGAAATAAATTTATGCAAACCGACACACCTGATGATGACCGTTTGAGTTATGGTCGAAACGTCGTGAGAATTTTTTATTGTTTTATATATATTTTGTTAATTTGTTGTTTCTCTTCAACGTGACTTTACCGAAAAAACTAAGAATAAGAAATAATTATTCATACGAATTCAGTGTTTTTGAAAAAAAGAATAACAACAGCCGCCCTTCTTAAAGTTATCCCATGTGTTTTTGGAACACTTTTACGGAGCAATATCTGAACGAGTTCCACAAGGCGTGTGGTTGCGAAACGTCGCGGACATCAAATGTGCACGTGGCTGCTCTCCGGCAAGGAGGCTTCCGGAAGATGACGCAGCAGCCGCGATGTGGACATCTGCCAATCCACGCGACTCGCATGCACCCCCCCCCCCCCCACAACGTTTACCAACTTAAGCAACTACTGTGCATGCTCACGCGCCCGATGCTTGTCCAAGTGCGTCTTCATCCTCATCTGGAATCTGGCCAATGTCTACATCTACTGGACATTTGTGATATGAAAAAAATAGTTTCATTGCACGTCGGATTTCTCCAGTATAAAAAAATATATTCTGACTAGCTGTACTACCCCGCCCGGGACTTGGATTCACCACGCACGCCGCCTTTGTCTCCCCAGTGGCGATGTTCACAAAGCAGAGCAGTTACTCGTTTGATGCTGAGTTGACCTAGGGGAGGCCCAGGAACGGTACAAATAATCGTCACCGGTGGTGACCGTAAGCGGAAATTGAACTCGGGTCGCCGGGTTCGTAGCGCGGTGCGCTAACCACTACACTACAATGCGTTACACTTCCACATGCGCGGGTCACATGACAGATTTGACGTCACAGCTCACTTGCCGTGCATATAAAAATATGCATTATTGAGCTCCCCTCCAAAAAAGTACCCACATGGCAAATTTCAAGTTTGTTGCATGTCGGGAAGTACGCTAAACATTTTGAACAGACACACATTCACAACTTTGCCTTTTATATATATGGAGATGATTCGGCTGTCGTGCATCATCATCTGCACCGCTCAAGTGGACCTCTTGCTGACACGGAGATTGCCACCGAAAACTTTGACTCACATCCTCACAGAACCCCCCCCACTGACCCCCTTCGACATTCAGATCCCAAATGACCCCTTTGGCATGCAGAGCTCACCTGCTGACCCCTTTGATTCAGATCCACCAAGTAACTTGACTCGCACCCCTTCCTCAAATTACCCCTTTATCATACACACCTCAAATGACCCCTATTACTCACAGATCCCAAATGACCCTTTGACAGATCCCAAACGACCCCTTTGGCTCACAGATCCCAAATGACCCTCTATGACCCACAAATTCCAAACGACCCCTCTAACTCCCAGTCTGACCCCACCAGCCTCCCCAATCTACAGAAGGTCAGCAATGTAATTGATGAGGGAGACTGATTACAGCTGGGCGGTGCATGGGGGAGGGGGGGTGATGGGGGGGGGCATTAAATAAGGTAGGGGCTGAGCTCCCGATAACATTGCCCCCCCTTCTCCAACCGCACCGCCCCCCCCCCCCCCCCCCCCCCACACACACACAGCAGGGAGTGGAGTGTCGCACATGGTGGACCTGAGTTCGATCACGGCTCACGCAACAGTGGGGTGAGTGACATCGAAGGATACCCCTCCCCACCAGTCGAGTGCGGTGAAGTATGGTCAAACGTCCTCCGCGACCAGCGCAGCGCGCGGGAAGACAACGTAGAGCAGTGGACTGCCAATGGGCTGTGCTCTGGTTATGGTTAGTTTATGTTTGATATTGCCACCGTCAAGCGTTTGAACTGCACGTAACAATGAGGACACCAATTCAAGCTGCTGTCGCTACTGCGTCAGAACCCTCAACACAGCTGCACTGCTATCATTCCGCTTACGTCAACCACCAGGAAGGATTATTGATTGATTATTATAGTTGGTTAAAACTGGCTGACGGCCAATGGACATTGAGCAATAATTTTCTGCTTGGACAACTGTAATTACACGGTCGTACATTGCTATCATATATAGTCGTGGGTCATTGTGATGAATAAATAAATACAATCGATAAATAAAAATGGAGACTGGTTAATGACACCGCACGGCCTCTGGTGGAGCATCGATGTCACGCGGTATTTAACGTGCATCTCCAGCAGACGGCGCGTTTTGGTGCAGCCTGCCGGCGACACCTACATCGTTCCAGGAAGGAGACACCACCACCACCCCCCCCCCCCCCCCCATGAGTAAGGTCACTTGTCGTTCCGTCTCGTGCTGCGACGAAGGATTTATCTCACCTGTACGGAATTGGGTCTTGTGTTTCCAAACTCATGCAGAAGAACGCACCAACGTTCGACCCGGCAACTTCGCTTTGTGCTCGATCCGCTTAGGTGAAGTGGACACCCCGAGGTTGGACTGTCGCGCCGTGCGAGTATGTGGTGGCGCCTCTATGCACAGGTGCTGCCCGCTCACAGCACTTGCCCCCTACAGTCCGTGCATGCTTTGTGGGGGGCTGACTCTTTGTCTTTTATCTCGATGCAATCCTATGATGTTTCTCTCTCCCCTCTCTCTCTCTCTTTCTCTCGATACGAATCAACTTGGTCACCCCACGTATACGTGTGGTGTCCGCGAAAGGCACCTTGCAGCATCCACGTTCGGACTAATCTCCGACTCGCCTACCCATCGCTGACCGCCTCCTCCTTCGTCTCGTTCCCCTTCGTTGTGTTTCTTTATTCCTCTGTCCCAGACCACCTCGCGCGTTGCTCTGGCGCGAGACTCCTCCTGGACAGCGACGCCTCAAGCCGGAGGGTCAAACAGACGGTGGCAGGAATCGAACCGTCAACGTTGCCGCTCGCTGGCTCTTGCAAGTTGGCTGGGTGGGGGGGGGGGGGGCCTAGGCGCCAGGCTGCCCGGTCCCTTGTACGACAAGAACATCACAACGAGAAACATCACCCCCGTCACGTGGGGTGCCATGCAAGAATGAAGCGCTGAACTTTAAGACCGCCTCTGATGAAGGTGAATAATTTATAGGGACTCGCTATCGAGCGTGTGTCTCTGCATGGGGCCCCAGGTGGCGGGTGACCCCCCACCCCCCCGATGGACTTTGGTCGCTCGGCGGGAGGTCAACCCCCTTACCCGAGTTTGGGTTCTCAGCCCCCCCCCCCCCCCCAAGTCTCTGAAGAGCCCCGCCTTGAGAATCTCTTTGAAGAGTCTCAGGTGGACGCTGCGGGACAACTCCGCAGTGTGAATTTGGTGAACAACAACAACAACAACACAAACTTCACACAAATGAAACACCGAGTGGACAGCTGTCCACTCTCGCTCCTTCCCCACAGGAAAAACCATCTTCGGAATTCACTGGGACATTCACTCAAGTCGTTTGATTGAATTTTAAAACGTGACATCGTACCGTGTAGAATGCCGCTATCACTCCATACGATGACCTCATCATCGTCATCGTTGTCGTCTTCATACGTGAGGCTGCGGGTCTCTATGAGGATCGCCACCCTTTCTACCATAGACTAAAAACCCGCACATAGTTCTCAGTCAGCCTGCGTCTTCTATCAAACTGAGCAGGCTCCTGAAGTGAAGTTCAACACAACACCAGTCGGTCACCAGATCTTGGACAGGTGACAATCTTATAGTTACGACGTGAGTCTACGGGTCTCCATGCGAGTCTGTGGGTCTCTATGTAAATATATATATTAACATATCCAGTACTCTAAATGCATGTTTCAAAATGTGGAGGAAAAAACCGCAGGGCCCGGAGGAAATCCACGCGACCACGGGGAGAGAGACACGCCGACTCCAAATATACAGCAGGCGTCAAGGTCGGTATCGTACCCACGTCTTCCTGTATACCAGGCGAGGTTGTTAACATCTCGGCTGCGTGGCGCCCCCAGAGTGATGGTACGAGGGGAAAGTGATGGCACATGAGAGATGGCATATGTCGGGACCGATGGGTCATGAAGTGATGGGATATGGAGTGAGTTATGGGACACGGAGTTGTAACCTGGTTCAACAAAATAAACTTCAGACTCGGAATGAGTGATGGGACATGGCGTGAGCGTTGGGATGTGGAGAGAGTGATGAATCATAGAGAGATTGGGACACAACGCAAGTGACGATTGGACAAAGAGAGTGCTGGTGGACACCAGCGCCGGATTAAGCTAGTGTGGGGCCTGTAGCATATTTTATAAAGGGGCCCTAAGTTAAAAAAACATATATAAAAACAAAAAATTTTTACTAGCATAGTAAAGTAATTGTATCTTTTTCCATTTGCTATACAACCATTTAATACGACAAATCGCTAACCTTAAAATCTCAGTCGTTCTGATTTAAAGCTTTCGTGACTGCAGGGATTCATATTCTTGGTTCTTTCGGTAAAGTCACGTAGAAGGGAAACAATAAAATAATACAAATATAAAACCGCCACGTTTTTCAAATTTTCTTGCTGTGGTTTTCACACCTGATGATGATTGCTTGTGTTGCAGTCGAAACGTCGTGAGAATTTTGTTGTTTTATATTTTTATTATTTTATTGTTTCCCTTCTACGTGACTTTACCGAAAGAACCAATAATATATACTCAGTCGTTCGTAAAAGTTGAAGGCAGTATAGTACTATAGTAATAGAGCAAGTGCAGAATCACTGAAACGCAATTGATAGCTTGAAATCATTTAGCGCGGGGCCCTTGAAAGTGCGGGGCCCGTAGCTACATGTGTAGCTACTTTTGATACTGGGATAATCCGGCACTGGTGGACACAAGCGATCATGCGTATGTAGACGTGATCCCTTGGGAGGGAGAGTGATGTTAGGTGCGAGGCGGGGTTTGCACTCTGTAATGATGTCACATTGGGGCTCATCATGAGATGTTGTAGGATTGGCAGTGAAGTAATTTTAACTATGAAGTAATGTGCGAGGCAAAGAGAGGAAGCATGTGTTGATGGTGGGTCTACAACTGATGTTGCGTCTATTCCTTGAACTGCTGCTACTGATAATGGTGATCCCTTTATAATATTGCTACTTGCAACACTACTGACGATTCTGCTGCTGTTGCTGATGTTCAATAATCCAATACCGCTGCTGATATTCACGGTAATAATTTTGCTGCTGATGATGATGCTTATGTTACTATTTCAGCTATAACTGTTGTTGATTATAGTGATGATGATGCTACTTCTTCTGATGATTTGACTTCTGCTTCTACTACCGATGATTTTTCTTCATGACTACCAATGCCATTACTGTTACGGCTACTTCTGGTGATGATAATGCTGCGTCTAATACCCCTGGTGGTTATTATTCTGCGATTATTACTGCGTATAATAGTCAGAATTATTCATTCTGACTTATTCTACTGATGATGATAATGATGATGATGCGACTACTATTGGTGATTATGTGTTTCTATCACTACTGCTGCTGATGATTATTGTTGTTCACTTGACAACTGCTGTGTTTTTAATAAAAAAAAATTTTTACCTGGAATGTCCCTCGAGATGAAACCCATAGCGTTTGCGAGGGGTGTCCAGGATGTGAGCTGACACGTACAGAGCAAACACCACTGTGACTACTGCTGATTAACAAACAATATAACTATTTGTTATTATTTAATCAGATAAGGCATCCTGAGCGATGTAGCTCTTTTTCAGAAGCGACCTGACCTCAAATGATAGCTCAACGAAGTGGCTTATCACGTGGAAACGTAAAGCAGCTGAATACTATAAACGCGCGTTGATTCTAAATGTGGAGGGAAATATCGGAGGACCCGGAGAAAAATACACGTGACCACAGGGAGAGAGAGACACATACAAACTGCAAATATACAGCAGCAGGCGTCCGGGTCGGGATCGAACCCATGACCCTCCTCCATACCAGGCGTGGTGGTTAACATCTCGCCACCGTGACGCCCTGATGCTACTGCTGCTGGCGATGATGGTGGTGGGAATCGTGATGGTGGAAGGGGGGAAGCGAGGAGGAGGAGCGAGGAGGAGGAAGAGGAAATCTCTCTCTCTCTCGCCGTGCGTCAGAATCACCTTGGGCGCACGCGCGCGCGGCACCAGTCGGAGGGGACGTCAGAGCCGACACGGATCTGCTCCGAGGGGCCGGGGGATTCCTCTGCGCGTCGCCGCGGTCACGCGGGGTTGATGGATCACGTAGAGATCAGCAAGAAACCACACCTTTCGTTGGTGGGCAATTGTGAATATTATGGGGGGAGGATGTTGTGATACTGTTATTGGTAGTGATGCATAAGCACAAATAATGCTAACTCAACTCATTCGTCAATGATACTGGCCTAAAATGAATATGTATGTTGAACTTCTTTCACACCGTACGGAGCCAACCGTGCTAATCGGATGTGCTAATAATGTGTATGGATATATACGTAATATGCGGCGTTTCATGCAATGGTGCTTTTCCAGGTCACCCCATAGCTGCTTGGTGCAGGATCGTGCTGCGAGATGCAGTACAGCAAGTAGCTTGTTGGCCCATCTGTGGCGGAGTTTTCCCACGCTGTATATAAGGGATGTCGGGGTTCGATTCCCGGCCACGGTGATCATCAGTAGAGGGTGGTGTCTGAACCGTTGGCGAGCCCCCACTTCAGCTCACATTGACCGGTGTGGTCAAGTATAGTCAAAACAATCCCCATGACCGACACGACGTGTAAGAGGCCTTCATCCAGCAGTACATTAACAAAGAGACGTACACAGTAACATACAATTGCATATATACACACACACACACGAGGGAGAGGTTCCGCGGAGATGGAGCGATTAAATGAGCTCGTGCGCAGGCCTCTGGCTTGGATCGTTGCATCGCAGGATCGTGAGAGGCGATGGCGGCTTGGGCAGGGGCCTCCATCATCTAGCAGTGGATTGATCATGGCAGAAGAGGATTGACCGCGTTCGTGAAGTGGCAAGCGCACTTTTTTTTTATTTTAGTTTCACACTAATTCGCTCGTCTACTCCTTTATTTAGCTAAGGTGAGAGTCCGCTGAGAATCCCGCGTCTCTGGCAAGGGACACCGATATAATTGTGCATGACTAATTACTCCCCCCCCCCCCCCACACACCCCACCACTCCTACCAATCCCGTCCACTCCCTAACTCGTCCCTGGCTTTCCGTTAGCCTGCTCGGTAACCCACGTCCGTACACAACTGGAAACCCGTGTTAAATGAAAAAAAAAGTCGTCAATAACCATCATCACCGTCATCATCAGAGGGAGCTGTCCCGGGGAGCTGAGCTCCGGAAAATAAAAAAATAAAAAAAATTCACCGCCACGAAAGTATCCAAGAAAGCCCCCCGGGTTCAATAATCAGTCAGCCACGTGGCCGTGTCAAATTTGTGATCGTCTGGCAAATGTAACTGCGGCCACTGCATCGCAGATACTGCACGCGTTCCACAGGCTGCCGAGTCGAAGACGCTTTTCCTCCCGTTGCCACATCCTGCAAGGTCATTCCAGTGAGTGAATTAGTGCCCGTGCGATTACGCTTCCTGGAGACAACTTCACAAAGGATGGTGTGATATCATTCGCAAAAGTCGCCCATTGCGTTCTTGCTCCGTCGCTGAGATTCCGATGATCTTATCCGCAGGTCGATCGCCGAAAAAATAATACGGTCATGGCATTCATTTTAATGGCACACTCGCGCGCATTAAAACATCGTAATCGTTTGCACGCTTTCGGCGTAGATGCAGAAGCGTAAGTGGCGACTCTATGGGGAGGAGTCGTGGAGGGGCGATGGCCCCGACTTTTTGGTTTATTTTGCCAGGTAAAGGCCACTGAGCTACGTTGAAGTTTCTTCAGAAGCGACCTGGCAACGCATGATAGCTCAACGAAGTGGCTTATCATCATGCCGAAATCGATAGCAGCCAAATAACTCTAAACGCGTGATGTTGATTCTAAATGCGGAGGGGAAAAACCGGAGGACCGGGAAGAAAGTCAACGTGACCACGGGGAGTGAGACACGCAAACTCCAAATATACAACAGGCGTCAGGGTCGGGATCGAACCGCCGAACTCCTGTATACCAGGCGAGGTAGTTAAAATCTCACCCCCCCCCCTCAATGTGCCCCCAACTGAGAGGCAACTTTGCTCTTGGCGGCTGAGAGACACTCAATATGACATTTACAAAATGTCACACACACACACAACGGTCCATCATTTGGTCGATGCCACCCCCACACCTCGCCATCGCTTCCTTCCTTCTGCCAAATCATCCTGCAGAGCAAACTTGCTCAATGGACACGTGGACGCAATGTGATCTCACCTCACTCACGGAGTCGTGCCTTCGTGATGCCGATGTGGGTGCATCAAGCCCCAACCCCCCCCCCCCCCCCCCCCCCAATATATATAATATGATCAGAATATTTATTCTGGAGGAATCCGATGAGCTAAAAGGCTTCTGTTTTTAACAGATGTCCAGAATCAACGCTGTGTGAAGACGTGCAGTCATTTGTCAACGCACTGCTAAACGGGGGCTCTCTGTGTACGCCGTGTCTGTGGGTCTTGCTGGGGGGTTGGGGGTGTTTGACCATACTTCACCACGCTGGTCAGTGCGGGTTGGCGAAGGTGAGAGGCGTATTGCAGAGACTTTGCTGCAGTGAGGATCTTAGGTTAGCGTGAACTCACAGCACAGGCCTATGGCTCTCTCTGTCGCTCGCTCTCCGTCAAAGACAAAGACCCCCCGTGTAGCCTTAACAGACTGATGGGGCAAGTGATGACGATTGGCCTGCACGGCACACGAGGGGGTGGGTGGCCAGCACCACGCCCGGCCGCCTCCACCTCCCCAGTGGCGATGCTTATACACATCGCACCAGCTACAGTACTCATTTGAGGCTGAGTCAACCTAGAGGAAGGCCCACGACCGATTCAGATAATCGTCACCGGTGTCGGCCCTGAGCGGGAAACGAACTCTGGACGCCGGGTTCGTAGCGGAGCCGCGCTAACCATTGCGCCACCGCTCTCTCTCTCTGTATATACGCGCGCGCGCGCATATAAAGCGCCGCGCTGGCGTTGCGAAGTGAATGTTAACGAGGTGCGCAAGCCCCCCCGGGGACTGCGCTGAACATTGACCACGGCGCGAGGGGGGGGGAGAGAGAGACGCGGGCGAGCGGCGGCCCCTAGCGGCGAGGCGACGGCACCGCTCGCGAACGAAGCTCGGCCACGCGGGTCGCGCGTGGAGTGGCGTGCGGGGAGGCGTCTTGGCCGCCCTCTGCTGGAAGCGCCGAGCATCTGCGCTCACGCTCGGGGCTAGTGGCGGTCAGCGGCACGTCACGGGGA